CGACAGACAAAGGTGAGGAAGGGTTAATGAAGCTGTCCCTGCTGCAGCTGCCAGACCAGTGTGTCACTCAGTGGGTCAGGCTCGTCCTTAGAGTCCTGAGGAGCACATCATGAGGTCATCATGATGTCATACCAAATGTGGGGTGCTCCTGGGCCGCAGGTGATACTGAAAGAGAAGCTAGGGTGAGTAGCCATGAGCCTCACTGATTCCTTGACGGCCCATCCAACTCTCCGAGCCCATGATTCCTGAGAGGCTTCTGACTTTGACTCCAGGTCCCAGGGGGTTGGCTGGGATATGGGGCACCAGGCTCCTCGGGGTGGCAGATGGGGGATCATAGCTCACCATAAAGAACTGGCAGAGGGTGATGTGGGGGAAGATGTTGTGTGCCTTGTTCTTCCCGCAGATCTGCTTCGACTGCTGCCAAAAGTCCAAGAGCTTCTGTGCTAAGGGGCCTGTGGGGCGGAGGTAGAGCACATACTCCCGGGGCAGGGGATCGTCCAGGAAGGGGTCGCCCACATGGGAGAATAACCTGCAAGGCAGAAGAGAGCCGCAGGCCTCACTTGAGAATAATGGAAGAAAGGGAAGAACTCAAAGAGACAGACCCACCCTCCATATGCTCCACACCCAGGCATTGTAAGGGGAAGGTTTTTCATTTTTGTGCTTTAAAAATCTACCACTCGGAGCTCACACTTCATAACCAAGTCTCAGATACACCAACTTCTTTTCTGCCTGTCATGCTACATCTGCAGCCCACAACTCCCTTAAAAAAAACCTAAAGGCTGCTCTCTAGGAAGCATTCTCAGATAAACTCCAAATCCTTTCCTAATCCAGGAGGGATTTCCCACCCGGCCTGTTCCTCCAGTTCAGTCTATGATTCAATCCATGTGCCTCCAAAAGACAAGGGAAACTCCAGGAGGGTTACCTCGTGGGGTCTGCCCTGGGCGATAATATCCTGAAATGTAAGGAGGTTTTCTTCTAAATTCATTTGCCCAGCATCCACACACTTAAAGTGACTGGAAGGGGGGTGAATATTGTGATAGGGACTCTAGCTTGGAAATGGTTTGCATTTCTTTAACAGTGTTAAGGAGAAGCACACCCTGGGGCCAGGGCAGAGGAGGCAATGGGCTTGATAAATGAGTTTGTCACATGGTCTTTTGGTTCATCTCCCCCCCCTGGAAGGCTCCATTAGAGAAAGGCTGTACATCCCTGCTCATCCACAGACACTTATAGTTAATTATACGCTATTTTCTCAATTTATTTATTTTATACCAACCAGTCACATGCTGCCTGAACACTTCTTCCTCCTGTGGATGCCAAGGCTTTTTGTCTGGAAGAAGAAATCAAATTTCTATTGTTAGTATTTTTAGCCTCAGCTTTTCTCATTGCAGTTGCAAGAATTGAGTGTGAAGTCAGTGACATCAAAGCCTCCTCAGTGGTGAGGGGGAGAGGCCTGCAGCAGGATTTCCCCCCAAGGGTCACAGCAAGGCATATGGACGTAGGACTCGTAATTAATTTCCATGGGATTAGCGCTGGGTCTGCATGCAGCCTGACAGCCCATGCAGTCTATTTTCAGCAGATTCCACACTGGGGGTTTTATTTCTGCTTCCTTAAAGATTGTCATGTCTTGGTTTTTCCTCCTTGCTTTTTTATCCACTCACATTTACTGACCCAGATCCCCTGCACAACCTTTTTTTTTTTTTCCCCAGCTCCTTGGAAAAGTGTGTTAGAAGGTGGGGGCTAAATGCCCACAAGGACATGTGGTTTGGTTCACTGCAGCGCCTCTTCCCACCCACCTCCAACCACCACCAACAGCTTCAGGCTGGGTCCATGATGTCCAACTATTTCAGAGACATCTTTGGGGACAAGTGGCCAGAGCAGTGCTGCTGTGGCTCCCACTGCTGGGGAAACAACACCAAGCCCGACTAACGGTGCTGCGGCATCTCAGGATAGTCATAGCAGCGAGGCCTTTGAGCACAAGCACACAGCAAGAGCACTTAGGAAATTTCAGACTGGTCTCCAAGAGTCAGCGTCCTGGGTTTGGATTCAGTTTTGCTATTGATCCATCCATCCATGCACTCATGCTTATATTTGTTCAAGAAATACTCACTGAATTGCTATTACTTTGGCAGCACTGTGCTAGGCTCTAGGAATACAGTGGAAAACAAGATTTATACGGTCCCTGCGGAGTTTTCAGGCATGAAAACATTAATTTTACAGATAATTATTTAATTGCATCTGTGGTCGGTGCAATGAAGAGACAGCACGGGGAACCATAACACAAGACAGGGAGGCCTAACCTGAGCTGAAGAGTCAGTGAAAGCTTCACTGAAGAAGTGACACTTTAAGTGAGACCTGAAGAATGTAGGTTCTTCTGGGGAAGGGGTGAGTGGGGATTGTATGGGGCGGTGATGGTGACATACATCTAGTGTATCTACTCTATAGTGAGGTGCGTATATACAAGGAGCTTCGAACAGTGCCTGACACATAGAAGCTGACCAGTGAACCACCATTCCCATCTCTTTACACTATACCAGTTCCAGGTCCTTGGGAGAAGAAAAGAGGGGAGGGGATTATAGTTAAATCAACACTCTTTCGAAGCCTCCTTTTCCTGATTGGCTGCTGAACCCAACTCTTTCCTTTTCCTGGTCCCTCTATGGAGTAATTAGAACAACTGGTGCTGTTAAGTGTCATAAAGGGTTAGATTCGAAGGGACCTCGGAGATCATCTGGGACCCAACTTCTTCCCTTTACACAAGGGAAATTCAGGGGAAGGAAGGAAGGTAAGGTGCTCAAAGCAGCCTGGCTGAGGTGATGGCTGAGTGATGGCAGACTCTAGACTGACTTCCAGGCCAGCGTCTGTGGCTCTGCTCCACAGCCCAAAGGTAAGTTAAATGCCTTCCTTTCCCCCCATGAAAACCTGAACACAAATACCAAATGATCAAGATAAAGAAATTTGCACAGCCGAGTAGAACAGTATTATGGAAGACAAGCCTACTTACAGAAGATGAAGTTATGGAGAAGCAAGACAGACCCTCTGAACCCCCTGGAACAAAAACTGCTGAAGAAAAGGCTGGAAGACAGATACACCCCTCCCACTCCGACTCCTGGATGAGGTGCTTCATTGCTGCCAAGTTGCCAACCCTGTTCCCTTTACTGCTTACTAGGCAATCAGAGACCACAATCTTGCTTTTTTTTTTTTCCAGGTCCAGAAGCCATGTACCTACAATCGAATGCAAATCATTGTCTTTTAGAAGTTAGAATCTCTGAGGGATTAAATTCATCAAAAAAAATTTAAAAGACCCATTGTTTCAAAAACAATAGGAAAGAGGAAAACTCATTTGTGGTACAATGTGCTATTTATATAAAGGATCCAATTTCTTTTATTTTTTTCTATGCCCTTCTCCCAGTTAAATATATCCTACTGAAATTTATTTTTCTTTAAGCTGTAGTAGCATTCTCTAGAAATGAAAGACCTAATTAAGTCAGAGTCTTTGTAACTCAGAAGACAAGTTTTGGAGAGGGCTCAGAAATACAATTGAGAAAGATAATGAAAGGTTTGGGTGAAAAGGCTATGATGAAAGTTTAAGGAAATCTAAATTCTTCTTTCTTAAGAAGGCAAGTCTGAGAGGTCTTCCATTTTATGGAAGGTTATTGTATCTGATGTACCTTTTTTAGTAAAGGTTAGCTAAAATAAAATAAGCTTTAGCTATAGCACAAAGGACTCAAGCTAGTTACCAGAAAGAACTTCCTGGTGCTATAAAGTTGTTTTGCTTTTTTGAAAATTTCTAGAAAGTAGTTACCGATCTGAGAGGTGTGTGATTCTCTAAGCAGGAGGTCACCCGAGAGGTAAAATCCCACCTTCCTTAGTGAACCGCAGGCACAGAGCTCAGCTACTCCTTCATCGACTGTCAGGCCAATGACGATTTGGGTTGAGCTAGTTCCCAGAACGCTGCCCACTGAACATGGGCAGCAGCAGAACACACCTCCCCCTCTCCACCTCACTGAAGAAAGACTGTTGCCGTAGAGCTCCCACTTCCATGGTCCATCCCACAGGTCCAATGCCAAGGGTGGTGGGGTGTGAGGGTGGACCCCAAACCACAGGCTGAGCCTGAATAGCTGCTACCTTCAGTGACCCAGAAGTTGGCAGAGAGCTGGAGACCATGAGCAGATAAGGCAGGGGTAGCCCTTTAAACCCCAAAGCCACTGAATTATAGCAACTTATTATTTATATTGGACCTCTACAGTTAGAATCAGTGAGACATGTGAACTGCTGACGTTCTCTCGTGTGAGAACATAAATTTGACTTCTGATCCTGGTCACACCTAACCTTCCCAATTAAGTCTAGGTTTATGCTTAGCAGAATGTGGGGAAAAAATGATGCAAATTCTCATGTCCTGCTCATGATGGGGAAAAACAGCACAAATCAGATAAAAATAATGGCTCATCCAAAAATCAGGCAAGCAGCTGTAAGGAAATGATCCAAATTGGGAAGAACTAGCAGCACCCACTGATGGCCTTGCTTCCTCTGGCTGGGATGGCTGGGGTTCCTCCCACTGTCTGCCCCCAACCCTGTTGAATTTGGAGTTCAAGTTTGATTTGGCTCCAGGACCATGGCTCTACCCAACCACCAGGGTCACAGAGATGCCCTTCTGACTTTAAGGGAGGTTTGGAAAGGAAAATTCCCTTTCTACTTTGTGTGAGACAAAGAAGCATGTCTTCCTCTCTTCTTCCCTTCCTTCTTTCTTCCTTTCTTCCTTTCCCCCCTTTTTCCTTCTTTCTCCCCTTCCACCTTCTTCTTTCCCTCCTTTCCTTCTTTCCATTCTCTTTCTTTTCCTTTTCCTCACAAGGAACTCTCACTAGGAAATCAAATGAAAACCAAAAATGTATTAACTATAGTTTTTTGATCTAAAGTTTGACTGGCTGGTGCCCTTTCAGAGACAATAGCCTCTGGTTCCCTCGGCTGGGATCAGGCTGACTGAGCAGATTCAGGCTGCCTTCATGTCCAGGTCCAACAGGATTCTCACTCCCTTTCGGAACCACAGGCTTTGAGCTTGACTGGGATTTCCTGTTTAATTGTCATCTAGGCAGATTTCCTCTGCAGCCACCCTGGTTCACTGGGTCCACGGTGGTCTCTGATCCTCTTGGTAGTTCAGTTCCTCTCAGCTTAACAACAGCTGTACGCCAGGCACTATATTATCACTGGATATACAGAGAAGAGGAAAGAATGGTCCTTGCCCTCACAGAGTTCGGTCTTAGAGTTAGAAACAGGCATACAATCATCCTCTTACAGTGTACTATCGTAATGGCCATGACAGAGCTGTTCAGTGTGCTGAGGCAGCTCAGAATAGGGATATTAACTCAGTAAGAGGGAGTTTCTGGGGCTGAGGTTCTCCAATTGTATACAAAGCTACTCTAAGTTGGATGTCACAGCAAGCTCAAAGAGGTGCCATGGGATATTTTAAATTTTTGAGGGAAACCTAGCAACGCTCATCATCTGTTGGACATCCCATAAGCTACTAGCTCAAGGTATTTACAGTTTCAATATTAGATTGTGTTGCATTCCTTAATGTCGTATCTTTGTGAAACTGTGGTTTTGGAAATGGCTGTAATAAAAAGCAAGTGCCTAGTGAAAAGAAATATGGACCAGAAAATGAGAGTGACAGTGTACAACCTGACTCTAAGGTTTGAGCAGTTGTGCAGTGCCCAACAGACACACACATCCATTAGTAAGTAGTTGTGGTTATTTAAGAGTGAAATAAAAATATTATTTTCTTTGAAATCTGTGCATTATTTTTTCACATGGCTCTTAAGTTGTTAGAAGATAAATACTTACTAAGTTGTTTGGATCTAACTGGTAAATGAACAGAACTATCAGGTATTTATGTTGGCCTACAGGCTCTATGTAAAAATTACTGAGAAACTAAGGATGCTATAAAATGTGCAAGTTTGGGACTGTCCTAGACAAAATGATGCTTGATCTGGATCTTAAATCAGAGCAAGGGCTGGCTAGAGAAAGAGAGGAGGAGAGGAGGGCATTTGAAGTGGAGAGCATGGCTAGAGTTAATATTTTAGGGAGCCAGGTGGACTCATGTCTTGTTAGGGAGACCACTTCATAGATGGTGTAGAGGCCTGACCACTGCACTGTATTTCTGAAGCTGATGTTGAATAATATTGTATGTCAACTATAATTATATGTACATATTCACGGGATGTGGAGTAGAGTGTGGGAATGGAGTCAATGGAATTGTAATAGATAAGTATGATATCGGGGGTGGGAGGGCAGTGGATGGGGGAGGGAGTTGTTACTGTGTGAGGGGTGAAAAGGATA